GACCAAAGGCTTTGCACTCCACATCTGTGACTTAAAGCCAACACAACTGACAGCTTGTCGTGTGAAAACATACATTGTATAGATATATGTACATGCACAGAGAATGAGAATACTTTCTCATTACACTACAATCATGGCATTTGTCAGCAGCAAATAAAGAGCTAGCTCACAGACACGTACATCTACATGTGGTGCAGCCATAAGTGAGATACTTTACAAGTGTAGAAGAATCAAACACATATTGAGGAGCAAGACTTCACCTTTGAAACTGCCTCTTCAATTTTAAATACACTCACTGTTATAGCGTCTGTAGCTGTCAATCTTTGATGGTGCCACTCTGTACAGAACTGTCCCTTGAAAAGCAGACTTTCCTGACAGCAAATGAAAGAAAAGAAGGAAAGAGAAAACACAAGAGGGGAAGGAGAGATCGAATGATGGTAAAAAGAAGGTAGAGGAAGAGTTTTTAATCTGTGCTTTCAATAACTAACATTTTAAGAGTTCTAGTAGCAAAACAATGAGACCATTAGCTACACTATCTGACTGGACATGAAATTAAAAATATTCTTGCTGTATATATATCAGATAGGGAAATCTCTAATGATTTTGCTAAAGGCACAGTGGTTGAGCTGTATAATGTATTGTTTCCCATAATCTCCAATGGCCAAATGGGGCAGGGGGAGGAAATCATTTTACATGTGTGAATGAACAGCAAAAAAGATGTCAGACACCTTTTTTGGTCTCGATCTGAGATATACAGACAGCCTAAAAAGACTGTTCCACCATTTTTTTTCCTGTTTGTTTTTTTGCCCTAGACCCTGTCTATAGTAAGGAAATTTCTATCAATGTCACCGCACTGATGTACATACTAACATCAAGTCCTGCCCCGGATGTAGACACACCGAAATACCAGAATACTGCTAGTCACTGAAATACCAAAATTCACTTACTGTAGACAAGATGTTAAAAATATCAAAAACAACATGTTTTTGCTGAGGGACTTAGTCAAGGTTTTGAATGTGAATTATAAATGTTAACAGTTCTTGACTGAAGGATGACATGATGAATCTTAAAATACTTTTAAGTATTAGAGGGGTAGCCGTGTTAGTCTGGATCTGCAAGAGCAACAAGGAGTCCTGTGGCACCTTATAGACTAACAGATGTATTGGAGCATAAGCTTTCGTGGGCAAAGACCCACTTCGTCAGATGCATGATACTTCGTCAGATGCAAAATACTTTTAAAAATTCAATAGCTTATTCAGACAAATAGGTGTTAACAAAAAACAAGCAAAACCTAAAAAGCTTTAAACAGTCTGAAGATTGCTTCCCATTTCAGTTGATTAAGGCTATGCCTTTCCTGCCCAAAAAAGGATGCAGGGTTTTGTTTATTGAGTTTATTTACAGTGAGACAGCAAACAGGTTAGCTAGTGCAAATTTCATTGTATAGCATTGTGTCATTGTCCTACCAGTTCTTCAGTCATCCAAAACATCTTCTGGGGAAAAATAGTCAGAGCTGTGTGTATATATATATATGTACTGTATACACACACACACACACACACACACACACACACACACATTATAATACACAGGCAGAAAACAGTATAGAAATGAAAACATCCAACACCATCTGTAGCCATAAGCAAACAACATAACAAAAGGCACAAACCAATTCACCCTCACTGCTCCTTTGCAGATCATCTTTAAGCGAAAACTATTACAACATTCACTCAGCTGTTAAGAAAGCAGAGAAGGAAATGTTTGGCTGCATGACAGTGAAGAGACCTGAAATTTAAAGATGTTAAGATGTATTGCATTACCTAACTAAATCACTTGCTGCAGAGTCTAATATCAGTTTTAGTACTGGGGACTCATGATTTATCTGTGACCATGACCAATATGTTTTTCAATATCCAATATATTATATTAAGACTAGTCATAACTTAATTTACACACATACAAAAGAGAGTTAGATACATGCCATAGTCCTTCTATGTTATAATATGCAACAGGCATATTAAAATGACTGTGAAATCGCCCCCTTAACATATGACTTTCAATCACTAGGTTTTAATATTCAGTTTCATTACACATGGCAATTTTCATGATTTTTTTGTTAAGCTATCTTAAAACCAAGTAAACAAATATTAAGACATCTGAGAGAATAATTACACTAAAAGAGGTTCGTGCATCCGATCAACCCTGAAGATAAAACTAAAGTATACACAACTTGTGGGTATTATCTTATACCAATAGACAACTTTACTTTTGAAATCAATAGGACTCCTTGAAAAATGAAGGGTAACTCAATGGGAGTATGGATATCAAAAGCAGGCCTTAATTAAGCTCTGTATTGCATCTTTTATCTTGTTAGGACTGTACTTTCCAAAATACCAAGGCTCCTAGAACTCACCCAGAATATTAGTCTCCACCCCCCACACAGACATTTTCTCCACTCAAGGCCTTGAGTACAGCCTTGCCTGTCTGACCCATGGCACTGGATTATCTATCCTAAGAGAGAAAATACGATACGACTTATTAAAAACCAAATCATGCTCATATTTTGCATTTCTGCAGCCCAATTCACCTGAGGATACCAAACTGCTTTAAACGCCTTGATTAATCAAGCTGCACAAGAGACATATAAAAGGGGTAAGTATTATTATCCCCATATGGCAGCCCTCCAATGGCTTACTCTATAACTCTTCTGTTGCTTTGGAAAAATAGTAAATAGGAATATTTAAAATGACATTTTCCCACTGATGTGTGAAATTAATGCTTATCAAATGTATAGATTTTTAATATACTGAGGTACCTGATATACCCTTATAGGTAGCCATGCATTTATGAGGCAACAGTAGATAGAATGAACTCACTCACTCAGATCTGAGCTCCCCTGGAGGTATGTATATGCATGATTTCCATATGGTCCCAATCCTGCATTCATTGGTTAATTAAATTGTTCACTTTTGTCATTATGGACTAGGGATGTAAAACTCCGTTTAATTGGTTAACGGGTTAATTGTAATGCTTAACAAAATTAAAGGTGGGACAACGGTAGGGATGCTGGGCTGGAGTGCCCCGCCCCTCCCCCCACCGCAGATGGCGGCTGCTCCAACCTGGCCAGAACAGCGCCTGTCTGCATCTTGCCCAGGCCAGTGGGCTGGAGCAGCCCCGGGAGCTGCTCCAACTAGCAATGGTTAAGCAGTTAACCATTCACGTCCCTATTATGAGCAGAACTGAAAGGATATAAGTATTTTGTGCTGACTTTTTTTACTCTTATTTTCCATTGTCAAATCTGTTTAAAGCACTTATCGTAACAAGTATGTACATAAGGCTAAAAATGAAACATTACCAAAGAAAAGGACCATTTTTCCTCCCATAGAGGAAAAGGGAAGGGGAGGGGAGCTCCTGGAAATTTGCCTACCTATAAACATTTTTATAAAGTGTCCATTGGTGTAAAATGTAGAGGATAAAATACGGATTCCAAATTTAAGACTCTACAAATTAATTTATGAAATGTTACTGACAAATTGGGATTAATTCCATCCCACTTCATTGCATTTTTATTGAAAAATTATAATTGCAATTAGTATTTTCAAAGTATAGCCTGCCTACATACTGAAACATGCAACTTCAATATTACTTGTGGATATTAATTTTCCCCTTGCACATCTTTTTAAATTGCAGAATATTTTGAAGCAGTATGAGACTGAAGCAATATTCTCTACACAGATTATTATACTAACCCCAAGCATATAAAGCAAGTAATTTATACTTCCACAAAGATTTCCCATTCTTATAAGAAATTAGACAAACCCTCTTCCAAACACTACAATCTTATTTCTATGGTATAGAAGAAAGACAGCAATTTTTTTCTTAATAAAAAACAAATGAGTGCTGCATTAAGACATTTTCAATTAAAATTCAGAAACACTGGATTTTCACTCTCATTCATAAGAGAATTATAAATATTTTGTTTAAATTTGGCAAGTTTAAGAGTTTGGCATAGTCCCACAAAAGCACCATCTTTCATCCAATTGCGTGTCGTTCCTGTACAGCTCTCCTAAGAACACTATATAACCAAGTATTAAATGTGCTGCAAATGGGAAATAGCTAGGCAGGGAGCAATTTAGCAAGTAAACATGCATTTATGCAAAGATATGCAAATACTGTTGGAATATTTTTAAAATAGAGGATCTAGTGATCACAGAATTTGGAGATCAGGCCAAGAATTTTTACTTGAAGAAACTAAAATGCAGCCAGACAGCGTATCATCCATTCCATACAGAATCGGATGTATGATTTAGGTTATTCTTCTCCTTACATCAAGGAAAAAATTACAAATTGGGAGAATCCACTACTAACTTGATTCTACTGCAAGCTTAGTTACCAAACATGCTTTTCACCTGCAACAGTACTGAAAATCCAGGTGAGTGGATGGCGCAGTGGGAGAACCAAATCTGAGTCCCAGTTCTGGCCTTTTGCTCCTTTGGCTAGCAGGGGTTGGGAATGATGAATGTGGAAGTAGCATGCTCAGCACCTGGAGGGAGAAAGTGCCGCATGTCCCACACCAATAATTACGAATTCTTAAATACCCAGGAGGACTTATTGAATAAGGTCTGGCGCTCCTAGCCCCTTGCTAAAATAAATAAGCAAAACCACTGAATAGGGTTTTTTGGGTAATTTTGTTGAGGTACTGCATGTACGGACAAAATGGTAGTGTATTTTCATAATGAAATAGAAGCCCTAAAGTAATAAAATGACATCATTTCCTGGGCCCTTGGCAGTTATAGCTGCAATGGTCTCTAATGAAAAGTGCTATAAAGGGGAAGGTGCTAATACCCTTATAGCATCAACAGCCAAACAACCTTTTCCTGGCACCAAATTTAGAACAACACACTCTGAATCTCTTCCAAGTAAAAGGTAAGAAGATTCCAGCATAGCAGAAAGTCAATAAAGAAGAGGAAAATAGATTAACTTGATAACACTTTATTCCTTACTTGGCTTTATTAGTTGCTCCTCCCGTGCAATTTCCACATCATCAGAATCAACAGAAATTTCCTTTATGAAGTTGGATGGAAACATGCCAGTCTTTCCATTGAGAATTCCTTCCCACCAGCCCTCCTCCACCTGGACCAAAACAAACAGAACAAATAAAATAGTGTTAATATAAATATGTATACCACCTTTTTAAATTTAAATGTTTTAAAAAACAAATTGTATTAAGAACTAATGTGAAAAGAACACTGATTTTGTACAGTTCGTATACATTTTTACAAGTATGGGATGCACTTTGTATATGGTATCCACCTTTTTATATGCATGACATGGATATATATTATCTGTGCATGTCTGTGGGGTTTTTTTTATTTGTTCAATCATAGGAGGAGACAAGTCATTAAATAAAATGACCGAGTAATACTTCAAAATTACAGAATGTTATTAAACTTCACATTTGTAAAAATTAGCTCAACCACCAAGAAAATGCAGTGTCTGAAACATGACATTCCATGAACTGTGCACAGCAACACCGCACACCAGTTTGTGACAGGATTTGAAGAAGAACACTAACAAAAAAATACCATATCTCTACAAGCAATGTCATTAGTGTTCCACTGCATGACATGACAACATCATGAATCATGTAAAAGTTAAGGAATCTGCAAAGACTAAATGAATATGAAGAACAGTATAAATGTGTGTAAGAGTCAACAGAACCTATAGAAATAAATAATGGGAGCAAAAGAAGCATGCAACTTCCTAAAGTAATTCCAGTACAAAATAAATATAGCTCTTAAAAATGATTCATTCCCTCATGTGTAGCCTAGCCAATATGGACGCAGACTATCATACTAGGAAATGACAGTCCCTAAATACCACATGTCTTCAGGTTGTAACAGGACAGCAGGGAATCATTTATTCTCTGCATCAGATAAGCGTATATTTGACAGTTTAATCGCTTTCATTTGTCAGACTCTGTCCATTCACAAAAAAGTGACAGGAGAGGACAGCTTCAGTCTGAGAAATATCAGTTGTGGTTTGACCCATCTCTTTTCTGGAAAAAAAAAATACAAAAAGTAGATTCCGACTGCTTTGCAAGTTGTACCAATTTATGTTTACTATTTTTTGTGGAAACAAAACTCTTACACAGTTGCAAAGAATTCAGCTACATATTAAATAACTGTGAAAGTCTCAATTTCTTACATTGTAATTCATTTATTAAAAACATATTCAGGATGTCAGCAACAACTTCTTGCAAATATTTTCTCAACCTGTAGATGAAGTAGCTGAATCTTGACATCCAGACATATGCCATGATTTATTTTTGTATACGTACTTCCTTTTGATACAATATTACTACAAAGTACATATAGAAAGTTATTTTTACTTTAGGGATTTTTCTCTCCTGCTTCTCATGTAATTCTTGTCCGATGTTGATTTTTTTTAACCTTTAATTTTGAATGAAGTGCAAATCAACATGACTATTTTCATTTAACAACTTCAGTTTACTGTGCCAAAACAGCTTGTTCATGCATCAGTAACATCAATAAGGTCAAGAACACCTCTGGGAATAATGGCTTTTAGCTAACTGCTGCCTTAGAGAAAAGAAACAAGACATTCTGGGTGAAACAGTGGCCCCGTTGAAAGTCAATGGCAAAACTGCCATTGGCTTTAGAAGGGGCTGGATTTCATTCATCATCTTCAAATGTCCCAGAAAAATACTTGTTTGGTTTTGCCTTCTCTCGTTGAACTAAAAGGATTGGAAAAATACAGAGAAAAATAATCAATAATATTTGCAAAATCCAGATACTTCCTATAATAATTTTCAAAGAGGAAAACTATAAGGTTAAAATCCTGAGCTGAACCTTTTATTACTGTACATATATAAAGCATTTGTATTTATAACGGTAGTATTATTCACAGAAGACATTATTGATCAAAATGGAACCATTATTCATTACTAGGCTCTACCAAATTCACTTGGGTCAATTTCACAGTTACAGGATTTTAAAAATAATAAAATTTCATTATTTTAGCTATTTAAATCTGAAATGTCACAGTGCAGTAGTCCAGGGGGGAAGGTCACAAGGTTATTAGAGGAGAAATTATAGAACTGTTACCATTACTTCTGCACTGCTACAGACGGGCAGTGCTGTCTTCCAAGCTGGGCAGCTGGAGAGCAGCAGCTGCTAGCGATGTGTTCAGCTCTGAAGGCATAGCTAAGTAACGCTGGCATTCTATAGTATCACCAACTCTGAGAACAGCACAAAAGTAAGGGTGCCTATACACACACACACACACACACACACACACACATTCCCTTTTGGGTCAGCACCCCCCAAATCTGAGAAACACTGGTCTCCTTTAAGAAGTGTATATAGTGCAGGGGAAAAGCACACAAAAGGCCAGATTTCACAGTCCAAACATATTTCATGGCCATGAATTTGATTTGGCCCTATTTATTACCCATACTACCCTAACAGTTACTTAAGTCTACTGATAATCACACTCAATGGAATTGTGCAGACCATTAGGTCCCAATCTGGCAAACAAATAGGATTGAGCACTCTTAATGCCAACCATTGTTATCCATTTACAGCTCTCCAAAGTAACTCTTCCTAGTGCTTATCTTTGTTTTTCAATAAACTGATATCAGTACCATTTACTTATACCCACACTCTCATCACTATTAATCCTTAAATCATCTAGCAGACGTACTGCTGACTACTTCGTGGCATTTCTAGCTCCTGTCCAATGAGCAAGATGCTAAGAACAGGGGTTTCAAACTCCCAGCTCATGGGCCATTTACAGCCCGAGCCCTTCCCCGATCCAGCCCACAAAGTATTTCCAGAAAGTTATTTCATCAGGCCGACGCAGCTTCCAGCCTGTGGGGCAGGCCACGGGGTAGGGATGAAGAGGGAAGGAAAGCAGGCAACAGGAGAAAATTCATCCATACACATGGCTCTCAGCAGCACCCAGGCCCCTGGTGCCCACATAGTGGAACCCTCTGTTGCTGGGGCTAAGTCTGGGAGACATTCTGGCTGCCTCTGTCATGATGCAAACCACGCTGGCCAGGGAGCTGACAGAGCTGACACACTTCTGCAGCCGGCGGGGTGGGGCAAATGGATTTTGCTTTTGGTTATCCTGGGTGGGGATGGAGGATAGTGCAAAGGTGTGGATGTGAGTGAGAGAGAGAGAGAGAGAGAGAGAGAGAGAGAGTATGTGTGTGCGCATGCGTGTGAGCAAAGGTGTGGATGTTAGTGCACATGTGTGCGTGTGGTGGGAGGGCAGGGGGAGGAGGGAGAATTCCAGCACGAGGACATGGGAATGTCAGGGTGAGAATTCAGTTTCAGGTCTTTTCTAGGATTCTGGTCTCTGTCAAGACTTCTGGTCACAGGAGAAGACTATCAACTTGCACGTACTATACTGCCAACTCCAAGCATTCAAAACTCATGAATGAGCCCCCACTCCCCATCTCCAAAAAGAGAATGGCTTCTTGAAATCACAGATAAAAATATATTTGGGGATCTTTTTATTAAGCATCTGGTGTTCGAGATTTTGGCTGAAGTTAGGGCACATTTTCTAGCTTTTTACCACAAATCATGAGACCTAAAATCTTAAAAATAAATAAAAAAATAAAAAAGCGGGGATTCCCTTCTAATACCATGCACCAGCAAACAAGCACTATCTATTTAGTCACAGCAATCACAGTTGATAGCAGTGCATGAGATATCAAGTAGTGAAGTTCCCAGATCAGACTTAGTTCTAATAATGTGGCTGGATCTTCTTTCCTCCCCCCCCCCCCCTTTTTAAGCCCCAATTATCAGGAAGCTTGTGATCAATACAGGAGAGGTGGCATGGCTGATATCTAGCCAGTTTCACAAAATGAGTCAATAGTTTGACAGCTTTCACTTTTGGATGGAGGCAGCTCTGCACACACAGGGACATGCAGGAGTGGTGGGGAGCTACCTGCTGGTAGCCACTCTAGCCCTGCTGCAGGTAGTGGTGAAGGCTCCCAGCAGGTTTTTAATTGTCCAGGGGCAACAAGTGGGGTAAAGGGACGCATGGGGTGGGTGGGGGGAACACACGTACCAGTAGGCAGGTCTGGGAAATGCAGGAGCTGGGAGAAAATGCATAGAGACCCATGCATTCCTGGAACTCTGCCAGAGGGGTGCCTGCTGACCCACTAGGAGCATTTGAGGACTGGCCCTAAGGAAAACTGAGCTTGAGACCCCCTGCACTAGAGCCAAAAATAGACTCTTCCCAAAGCACTATGCACAGTGAGCTTCACAAAGGTTACCAGGGAGTCCCATGTTTTAATAAGTATTTGTTTCAACAGCATTATACAACAATGGTGTGTACATGAAATGTACCTCAACTTTAGACGTACTAGTCAAAAATCATTTTGTACAGCAAACTACACATAAAACTGTCTCTGGGATTTAGCAGCTCCAAATGGAGACAACCTTGTGCCATACGGTTTGAAATGATGTGCTAATTCTTCACCAATAAAAGCTTACAAATGGAAATGCATTATTCATGTGAATAGCCTATCAGAAGGTACAAGTATTCAGTAAAATCTGTTACTGTAGCTAAGTGTTTTCAGAATTTATGCACCTGAGTCCTAATTCTTGCCTAGCATTTATGCGCTGTAAAAATCGTCCCCCCCCTTTTTTTTTAATCTCATCCACAAAAAAGGAAATCAAGGTTCCTGTAACAGAGGAAAGGTTCTTGAATTCATCTCTTCTAGACAATATTGTATGTACATACTGGTTTTGGTTCAGTCTGTTTTTCCTCCTTCCCTCAAAAAAAAAAAATTAGTTAAATCTTTTGGCAGCCTTCTGGGAAGGAAAAGTGTGTCGACTTGCCAAGCCTGGATGCTGAGAGTACTACATTTTAAGTATAACAACATATATGAGATATAATGGAGATATTTTATTAGCCTACTTCGTATATATATGGGAGATACGTTCCTGTTCAGCCATTTATACAGAACACACCACCAACCAATCACAAAGAAGCACAAAAGGGAGTTATAAAATACAGCTGGGGCCCACATCATTCATCATTTTAAAAATCAGAGACATCTGCCTGTCTGAAGTATTGCAGATGGAAAAACGTGATCAGTGTCTCAA